GGACCTTTCTGCAAAGGATTCCTGGTCTGTAACGTAGGTAGCTTAAAAAAACAAAAACAAACCAAAAACCAAACAAATTTCCAAATCTGATTGAAACCTCTGGGTTGCCACGGCCAGGGTGTCATTTCAGGGGTTTATTTTCCAGTTTTGAAAGGAAGGAGCCTCCCCTGTTTTGCCTGAGCTGCCTGCCTTGCAATTAAAGACAGACAAAACCTGGTTTGCGGAGCCCTGCAGCTGCAGGGAGGTGCATCTGCCCAGCCCAAGGACTGCCCAGCCTTATTTATTGCTTTTTTTTCTTTTTCCCAAGCCAAGAGCCCTCTTGCCTTAAATGCTGCATGTGTATCGCTGTGGGCCTGGTCATTTAAATAGGAGGCTGCAGGCACCCATGCCCTACGGTGCAAGTGGCTCCTTTCCACCTTCAGTTTACCCCTGTAAATAAGATCCCTGATGTCCCAAGGATCCTATTTCTGCCCCAAACATCTTCTGGATCTCACCCTGCTCTTTTGGCTGCATTTTGACCCCAGCTTGGGGGCTTTAGCCATGCTCTCCCACCCCAGAGGTGTCTCCGCATCAGCAACTCCTGGAGTCCTGTGAGCATGTGGGAAGCTCAGTAAAAATAAATAAATATTCCTTGTACTGAAAGAAAGCAGGAAAAATACCCTCTGGTGTCTAAAACTTATTTTCTATTTTTTTTTAAAGCTAAAAGGTGTGGGGAGAGGGAACCTGCGAGAAGGGCTTTTCTGTTGCTGGTGTTAGGTGGGGCTGGCTCTTGCAAGGGGAAAGCACCCCAGATGTGATGCACTCGGATGCAAAGGGTCCAGGGATTTATTTCTCGAGTCGTGTCAGGCTGAGGACGTGACACAAGTTGTGTCCTTTCTCAGCCCTCTGCATCCAGACAGTAAAGAGGACGTTATATTTTGATGCCCAAATTTATGCATTAAGCATGTACAAACTGGCAGCTGAGTATCAGGGCTAATTTCCCAACAACGTATATTATTGATGCCCTGCCTGCACGTGTTCAAGGAAATTGCTACATGTTTTTTTTCCTCCTTTTTCCCTTTCTGTGATGATCAACAAGCAGAACATTATTCTAATCCTTGGGATGCTGCTGGTGGAGCTTTTACAGGCAGTGACCTTTGCAACGGTGTTTTCTGAGCACTTATTTCTGTAAATAATATCCGTTTTCCCTGCACAGACCTGGAGAAGGAGCCAAAAAGGAAAATTTCTGGTATCTCTTGTGGGTTATTCATTCCCATCTGAGAGACAAAAGCATTTCCCCAAGGAACTGGAGTTAATTCACTTCTTGTGTTTTTGCTGCCAGAAAAAATGCGCCGCGGTGTAAATGGAGACGAAGGAGGAAAAGCCATTTGAAAACACCGCCAGTAAATTAAAGTTTTGCTGTATTTGCTGAGATAATCTGGTGTAATTCCCTGCTAATGGATTAATGCACTGCTTCTTGTTCATTATAGCTTTCCTAATTTGATTGGAGCTCTAAGTGCTAGCTAGCTTCATTACCAGCAAATATTAATGTAGTAAAGCGGGTTTTGGTGGAGTCCTTCATTCCCAGTGAGCTTTGTACCCAGGTGATGTGCTGGGGAAGGGCTGGGAGGAGGAAGAATGTCGGGGATGCTGCCCACCAGCGAGGCTTCGTGGGTGCCCATCAGCTTCTGAGTGCGCAGCATCACCTCTTGGTGGCCGTGTCCAAGGGCTACGGGCTTGCTCCATCCTCGGCAGAAAACACCGCATCTCCCTGCAGCATCACAGCCTTACAGGGAGGAAACCCAGAAGCTAACAAATTAAACTAACAAATTGCATTAAATTCATCATCAACCGTCTGCTCATTGGTGGAGCAAGAGGAGCAGCCCCATCCCACCACAGCCCCGGCTTTGCTTTTTAATAAATATAGCTTGCTCTTTAATAAATACATTGTAGGAAAGGTAAAGAAGAGGAAAGCAGAGCTCAGGTGACGTTTGTTGCTGAAGACTGGTACCCAAGTGGCTTCGATGGCCACGCAGGGGAAAACATCACTCTACAGCCCCTCACGCTGCTTTTTTCATCTGCTTCCCCCCATAAACTTGCACCAGAGGCTTTGGCTGAGGCTGATGCTGGGATGGGGGACGCGCGGTCCCAAGGAGCCTTCCCACCATCCCGCCTGCGGGGCTGGGGAGCCAGGAGGGACGGAATCAGCCCTGCCTCAATCATGTTGTTCGATGAAAATGGCTCCATGCATAATTTAAGCTCTGGGTTGCTTACACTGAGTAATCATCTCTGTTCCGACTAAGAGGGGATGGGGAGGGAGAGCTTTCTTTTTTCAAGCCTTTTTTTTGTTGTTTTCTCCCAAAAGTGGTTCCTAAATGCCTGGTGAAGAGATTTTTCCCATGCTGCATCGGGCACCCGCCGGAGCCCGAGGTCTGGGCATTGTCCAGCATCCCAGAGGTGAACCACGGATGATGTCCCAGGGCACTGCATGAGCCAACCAGGGGGGAAAAAATTTTAAATCCATCGTTTGAGGCCATAGGCGCTAGTTGTGAAACGACATGTTTTAACGTAAAGCTGAGATGGGGATGTAATCCCACGACTCCAGGTATGAGGTCCCAAACCTGGTCCTGACGCCTCCTGGGACTTTGGGCACAGATTTTGATGGACACATTGGGTCCCACATGGCTCAGGTGGCCTTGGGGACACGGCTCCGCTCCCCCTCGGGGCCAGGGCCTCGCTGGACCCAGCGGCAGTGCTTATTATGGGCTGGCACCGATGCCTTTGATTTTTCTTGGGTTTTTGTTTTCCCTTCTAAAAGCCCCAATGTTTTAATTATTTATTTGGAGCGTGATTAATGTTTTGTCTGACGTTGTTCTGCCAGGGGAGCCCCGGTACATTTTGGTTTAGCGAGATCTAATTAAGAAGTCCCATCAAGCATGTCATCCCTTGTCTTACAAGTACCTCCAGGGCTCCTCTGGCACGGCTGTGTTTCGGCAGACTCAGCTGGACCCGACAGCTCCGGGGTGCCTGGGGCTCTTCTGGAGGGTGCTGCCCTGCAAACAGGGGGTGCTCCAGCCAAGCGCCCCTTGTCCCAGGGTCAAGGCAAGACCCAGATTGCTATTGCCTCCAGGGTATGGAGGTAAGAAGCACTTTTGGTCTCAAATTTGCCCTTTCTGGCTGCGTTTCAGGGAGGATGCTCTCCTCCTGAGAGCAGGAGGCGGCCAGGCTGAAGCTGCCCGGTCTCCATGTCCCCACCGGGGATGAAGCGTGGGGTGATGACAACATTCACCCACGGAGGTGATGTGACATGGGGCCACCGCGGCATCGGCGCCTGGCACAGGTCTCCGAAGGGGCAGCGAGGAGGGAGGCAGCCCCTTGCGTGGGGCACACGTGTGCGTGTGCATGCATGTACACGTGTGTGCCCACTGCCACCCAGTGGTGGGAGAGCACCCAGCTGTCACCCAGCAAAATGCATTTCATAAGGCGAGGTAACGCAAAAAATAAAGATACGGCACCCACTGGCGTAGCAAGGGCCGTATCCAGGTACCGGAGGGTTGAGCTCCGGGAGTGGTGGCCGCTGGGGAAGCAGGTTTTGCTGGGCTGGAGGTGGTGGGGGAGCTGCCAGCTCAGCTCAGCTCAGCTCAGCTTGTCAGGCAGAGACCCTCACCCCAAGTCTGGCCTCCCACGGCCTTGGGGGCATTAAATGGCTTGGGCAGCCCCACCTGGGACCCACACCCTGCCCGTGGTCCCAGGAGCCCATTTAAGCTCAACCTGGGGTTGTCAGTCCCAGCCTGAGCTGTGCTGCAGGGATGCTGCTCTCCAGCCGTGCCCATTGACCACAAACTTATTCCCACCTTGCCTTGGACCTGCCTCATCCTCACTCATGCTCTGAGATCCCCATTGACACCGGTTTCCCCCTCATCCCCCCTTGCTCTTTTGCTGAGGGTGGGATGAAGGCTCCTGCCCACCGCCAGGTATCTATCCCGGCTCTCCATCCCTTTCTCTCCCTCT